CCAGGAGAGGCGACCACCTCCTGTCCCCTCCTACCTGGTACAGTCTGAAAGGAGTGGTTTTTCTGGGCTGGACAGGAGAGGGTTAAAGGCTGGGTATAGGATTCCGGCCCCAGCTGCCCCCTCCTGGCCGACTGCACCCCTTAATCATTGATTCGATTTCTCCTGGCCTGGCTTGTGGGACCAGGAAGGGATGGGGGCGGGTGTGTGGGTGCTGCCAGCCAGGCCTGGCAGGAGGTGGCCTGAGGGGGAGGCCAACCTGCCCGGCGCAACTCCTTGATCTATATGTGAGCATACACACCAGGTGTCCCCTCCAAATTCCAAGACTGTCCACCCACATTCACAGACATCAGCTGCACACAAAGTTTGCACCCAGATCACACATTACCATCCCCCATCCACACAGCAGACACACAGAAAGCAAGCACACATCAAATACACAATTAAACCGTCAGATGACATATACACAGATATACTTAGACCTTCCCTCCACTCCCAGACACACGCAGTCACCACACACGAGGAAAGGACATCGTGCATAGAGGCTCCCAACACGGAGAAACAGCCATAATGGTAATTATCATAGTTAACACGTATTGAGCACTTATTATGTGCCAGGTATTGTTCTAAGCCCTTTGCAGGGAATAGTTTAATTTTTACATAGTAGAGATAGCTACCATTATTATCTCCCAATTTACAGATGAGGGAACTTAGGGACAGAGAATTAAAGTAAGATACCTGAGGTCTCACAAGTGGCCTGGCGCAGACACACGTGCACAGATACCCGCCCCCTCGCCCCTGTCCTCCATTTATTTACATAGATTCATTCAAACGCAGCATTCTCCCAACCGCTGACCCGCCCCGCACGTGCTCAGGGTGAGTGCTGTTTGGGGCACTAGTGGCCAAAGACGCAAGCAATGGCCTGTTGGCAGAGCGGTTGGTAAGCTGTGACGAAGAATCGGACCGGCGGGGAGACCAGACGTTCCGAAGCGGTAGTGAAAGCCTTCACGCCACCCCTCGCGGCGGGGCTGGTGATGGGCGCTCACCGGCCGTGCAGCAGAGCATCACCGAGTAGGGATTCTCGTGAGCGCTCAGAGCCTAGTGCAAAGCCTCGCCCTGCTCCCTTGGCTGCACCCACTTCCCGGCCAAGCAGCCTCAGGTTTTTAGCAGAAGGGCCGCCGCACCCGACCGCGCCCTCAGGCCGACTGGCCGGAGGAGATCTGGGCCTGGGTCTGGGATCCCGGGGGAGACCCTTTGTCGCCAGGCGCTAACCCGCGCCCACCCACGCGCGCGCCAGGTTCTTGGTAAGCCTTTTAATGGGGAAACAGCTACAGACACCACGGTCGGATAAATGTTATTTATAATTCACGGGTCAGTCTTTCAACCCTTTCAAACAACCCCACAGCGATTTCTTTGAGAGAGAGAGAGTGCCTGGGCTCGACTCAGAAGTCGCGGGTTTTCGGAGCGCTGACGAGCCGCCGGGCGGGCAGTAAATCACCCCGCGCGCCACACTCGGTTCTGATTATTTGCGTTGACGCCGGTTTAAAGCAGACGCGTTAGTAAAGGTCGTTTATTCTGCAAGTGGGACGCACGTTCGATCCCAGCAGCGTTCCTAGAAGGAGCTGTGCTCTTTGGGTGGGGGAAGGAGGGAGGGCGTCCGGGTCAAGCTAAAAACAAAAACGAAAACGAAGCAGCGGCGGCGGCGCAGCAAGGATCGAATCGGGACCCGCCCGCGGCGAGTGTTTGGGGTCTGCGTTCCGGGGCTGCCCACCCAGTGCCGCAACGTGGAGTCCTCCACTGGTGACGCGGGTGGGGAGGCTAAAGAGTTTATCCAAAGCCGGTGGTCCTTCCCTCACCTCCCCCTCTAGCTCGGACCCTGGGAACAAAGGCTCACCAGAGGAGAGGTGACCGGCTGGACGGCGGTGGTCACGGCCAAATGGATTCCCCGTTCCCCCAGCTCTCGCGTCCCGAGAGTGGATTTCTAATTATTAGTTTATAAAAGAAGGACGTTTTTAAAAGAGGCCCCCACCCCCACCCCGGTATTCAACACCGCGCTCGGGCGCGCCTGGGGAAACCGCCCTCGAGTCCAAGGGAAAGCTCAGCGCTGCGGCGGCCGCGGAGCCCGGGCGCCGGCGACGCGAGTCCGGCCGGGATTGCCCGACAGGGGACCGGAGAGAGGATCCTTGTGGATCTCGGGGGAGGGGGCTGCGCTCCATTGTTCACTCCGGGCCAATCGGGGTCGGTCCACATCTTCCGGCCAATCTCCCCGCGCCCCGCCCTCCACCCGACCCAGCCCGCGCAGCAGTCCCGGGGCCCCCACCGCCTCCCCC